TTTGCTTATCATATTACGATACGATATTATTGGTCAATTAAAATTGAAACAAATCACGTGATTGTCGAGTATAGATTCCCGCACCATATAAAGATGAACTTTGCTATTACACGTACTATTGCTTATTTAAATAAATGCCCAATTATCAAATTAAATAGCAAAATCATCAATAATATAAATGCTGTTAAGTTACAAAAGTCCTTTCCAATCGTTCAAATGAAGTAGCAAAGTTAGCAATGATGTAATGACGTATAATATTTTGTTTACGTTACAAGAAGGTCTTTCTAAATCGCCAAATAAATGATCGGTGAGTAACATGACTTTAAGCTAAATGACTGATTGGATAATCCGCTACTAAATTGGTAAAAATTTTGTCGCGAGAGTCATTTACTACTGTCTGGCTGGAAAGGTTGTCCGACTTACAGCTTAACATATGTTGTCCGACTTATCGAGTAATAAAAAATAAAGGCTGAGTGGTTTTGTCCGACTTAAGCCAAATCCGACTTATCGAGTGTCCGACTTATCGAGTTTCACTGTGTATATCGTACAGCAAGATATTGATGATGTTGTCAGGTTAGAACACGATCGTGGATTAGTACGATTAAGTAAGGTTGTAAGGCGACTTGAGGACGCTTCTCGGAAGCAAACAAGTATTAGGAGCCTTCTACAATGATACTTTTTTTCATTAAAGATATCCTTTTCTCTCAGTTGAAACCTTAAATGTTCATTACGCATTACAATCGCAATCGTTAATGGTTTCAGGCATAGTAATGCACGCTCTCCATAAATGCAAGCGCATCGTCGGTCCAACGACGTGCATTTAGTGAGGTCTGACTGTATTAGTATATCATGCGAAGAGGTCACGTGAAACAAAATGATTGGCGTTCTCTAAATGCACGCTCTCCATAAATGCAAGCGTATCGTCGGTCCCGACGACGTGCATTTAGAGAGGTCTGACTGATGCACGCTCCAGCTCATTCCCATATATGAAGGGTTGACTGTACTTAAAAAATGAGACCTTACGTTTAAATAATTCTTTCTGTTAGGAGAATTCTATCGCAACAGGTCTAGGCAACCATGTTGACTGAAAGTTATAGAGCTTACTATAAGATTTATGAAAGTTCACTTAGTGACTTGTGAGCAAGGTAATGGAATTACTAAGACTACTTTCAACAATAATAATATTTTAATCATCTATACTATCATCGCGGAGTAACAAGTAGACATGCAGCAGAATGTCTGAGCCAAATGGAAGTATTTATTGCTATGGTCCGGTGCAAAAAGATAGATACCCCGAAATTGATCGCTATCAAATCGTCTAGTTAAAGTTGTGTGCGACTTTAATAACTATAACTTTTTTTTTTCAATTTTAGACAAGTAAATAACCATTTTTATATAGTACATCACTTAACTTGTTTGAAAATGTCTCTATTCCCGAGCCAGCGAAGTGCTGCTCCTCTAACTGAAAACGAAAAAATAATGATTTTAAATGCTCACAAATACTTTTAGAGGAGAATTCCTCATCTAAAAAACGTCAAAAGTTCACACTACGCAAGCGTGGTTGCTGAGGTTCTTGAGGTTTCAGAAAGTACAGTTGGGCGGGTTATTCATACAAGGTCAACCCCGATAAACCGAAGATGTCGGTGCAGCCGTTTTTCTTCGGATTAGCGGGGTTGCTCTATAAACCGAAGTTTATATTCAGGGAAGCCATACATTCGGATAAATGGGGTAAGTGCTCGACGTTTTTTATTGTTGGATTGTTGATTTTATATTGCAAATTTCAATTTTTTGAGCAAGCTTAATTGCTGTATGTTTTCTTTTAGGTGCCATGTTGTAGAACGTTTTGTCTTTGTTCGATCGAATTCTTGTTTGTATAAGAGAAGAATATTGCAAAGCAATTTTTATAGAGAAATATAATTGGCTGAAATATGCGGTTTATCAGGGTCAATATTCGGTTTACAAAGGTCGACAATATTATTGGCTTAAATAAAGTGTTACGTCATTTATTCGGATTATCGGGGTAAATTTTGATATGTTTGTTTCAGAAAATCTTCGGTTAACGGTTCATGGAGGTTTAAAATAGTAACTTCGGTTTGTCGGGGTAATTTTAGTAGGCTAAAGTTCGGATTTCAAAAAACGTTCGGTCTAACGGGTTTTTCGGTTTATCGGGTTTCGGTTTATCGGGGTTGATCTTGTAAATGGAAAAATGGCTCATTTGCAGAACAAAAAACATAGGACGGCGCTTAACAATGCAAAAGAATATAGAGAAAACGATGAGCATGTATATTTACCTAATGAGGAAACTGATGACGAATCCTTTTCTGAAGATAATATGGAATCCAGTGAGTAAATTTTTAATAAAACTTATATCCAAATGTTTCCGATAACCTAAAGAAACTATTGGTAAAATCAGATTTTAGAAAAAAATTTTCTTATTCGCAATAATCTGAGGTATCTATCTTTTTGCACCGGACCATATTATGTAATCAATATTTATATGTAGATATTATTTTATTACAATGAATCACCTTATTCATCTGTTGCAAGTCTTCTGTGCCTGAACTTGACCTGTTGCTTTTCTCAAATTCTCGTATACTTGCTTCATGCTTCTGCTCATTGCACGACTTCAACTTATGTAACTTGGTTTGCTCGATATGTCTCAATACACGATTCTTCTCCATCGCATCGCCATGCAAACTGATAAAAAGGTTGGGAACGGGGATAAAGCTATTGAAATAAGATATAGCTGTCAGTGAGAATAGCACAAAGTGGTAGACGAACACTGATAGCAGGAATGTAACGACTAAAAGCGCACGTTGCCTAATGTGCCTTTCGGTGAGTGTCTTTGCCCCCTGGCTTGCTACTTACCCCTTCATACTCAATCCGTTCACTAGCATCAATCAGATCGCTTAGCCTACCAATCCCCTTGTGTTATTCATAATACAAGCTATGCTCAGATACATCTACTTTCAATGTGTCAAAACCACGAATGAAATAATTTGCGGCTGGGTGGGTTAAATGGGAGAATATATAGGGAAATAGGTTAGGACGACGGTCTACACAAGCTTTTTTGCGAAACTGAAAGAAGCATCATTACTTTGTAAGTCCACTCCAGAAACTGGATATTACAAGCTCTACGAACTGTTTTGCCTACCCCTCTGCACCTGTTTGATCAGACGTCCTTTCTGACCCAACTATTCAAAATTCGCCACTCCGTGATCGTAAACTTCTATTTACTACATATTCCTCCTATATTCCTCCGGTTCTTGCTGCATTCATATCATGCTACTGGTCTAAGATATTCCCACGCACAGTTACTGTCAAATCATGTATTATCCTACACATGTACCGAATTGATATGGGTCACTGTTGGGTTACCAGTTCTCTTTTTTTTTTTTATAACCCCCCACACCGAAATTACCCAACGAAGACAAAAGTGAAAAGCAATGAACTGACTTTACACAATTGGGAAAGCTAATTTATTAATATGAAACTCCCGCAAAAACGAAACTCATCATTTAAAGACATGCATTATCATCTATAATGATGAATTATCTTCTCACTTTCGAATTAACGCTAACACTTTGTCAAAGCTAGCAGTAGCTGGTACCGTGCCTAACGCAAATTGAATTCGCACTTCTCTTATAACCACATGTTCGTTCATTGCGTTAAAGTTTTGCGCAACGGTATGCGTAATAGATCGATTGATATTATCGAAATGTCCGTTGGAGAAGCCACAGACTGGACAGGAGCTGTTTTCGTGAGTTGCGACTTGATTGAAATTCGGTGGATTCAATAGCTCATTCATGGAGACGTCAACACCATCGTAATAAGAGATTGGGGAATATGATGTTGTACGATTTCTAGTATTTCCGTAGTGTATAGTATTCATATCGGCATTATGGAGAAAAGGGGCAGCAGGACGAGTGTGACGTTGGTCTTGTAAATTAGCAGCCATTTGAATTGAATTGAAGCCTTCCTGTTGATAGACATTGTTATAAAGCCCCGCACAATCGTTGTTCATATTATTATATTCGCTCAATGTATTAATGTTATTAGTATTCATAAATGTCGTATCGGCGTTATGGGTGGCAGGACGAGTATGACTTTGGTCTTGTAAATTGGCAGCCATTTGAATTGAATTGAAGCCTTCCTGTTGATAGTTGTTATAAAGCCCCGCACAATAGTTGTTCATATTATTAGATTCGCTCAATGTATTATTCATAAATGTCGTATCGAGAAGAAAAGGGGCAGCAGGACGAGTATGACGTTGGCCTTGTAAATTAGCAGCCATTTGGATTGGGTTATCAAAATTGTGTTGATAGACGTTGTTATAAAGTCCAGCGCAATAGTTGTTCATATTAGATTCGCTCAATGTATTAACATTAAAAAAGAAGTGATGAAAGCGATGCTTGCTACGAGGAAAGAACTTATACTCTTATATGAAAATAGAGAATTACAAGGAGCGATGTTATGTTCGTTAATTTCCGTAACATATAAAAAAGGGAGTAGGGATTGGATCGTTTAGGAGAATTGGATCCGGGTAGAGAGGCATATGCTTGCTACGAGAAAAGAACTTATACTCTTATATATGTATCCTGCATGCATGCAAAAGATAATGAGTTTTTACTAGTCAATGTAAAACTTTAATATATACAATGTACTTTATTTATATTTACTTTTTATTTATACTCTGAGCTTTTACCATTATGCTAAAGCCATGAAGCATTGGTCAATCTAGACCATCCATAAACTATGCTGTGTACCGAGCGTCGTATATGTCACTATTATAAAGATGTATATTTAATTATAATTTCTAAATGTATGCCTGATTATTGTTTTTTGTTTATTGTGTGAAACACGCATCGTGAAAAGTTCATTAAACTTTAATTCAATGGGATTTTACCCCATTGATATAGATGTTACAAACATAGTGATTTTACATGAAAATCTATATACACAGTGACTCGTTCTAGTAAGTATTCCACAAATTTTAATGTAGTTTCCCGCCATTTTCCCTAAATGGTAAGGTATGATCATGTGTGTAAAATCGTGCTCATTTCCCATTTCGAATATCAACCTACACGGGACAAGAACGTAATATTTGTTTGCCTCCCATGCGACTGAACTGTTTCTGATCAAAATGAAGCTTTTTAATATTGTCTTTTTTTACTATTGTTGTTTATGGAGCCAAACATGGTTATGATTTTCTTTCAATTAACTTGGGACAAAAAATCTGATGTAATTTGATTTACTCACTCTTGAGAAACTCTCACTTGAAGTTGCCTACCTAAAACGAATCAACGATACTACATTTTTGTCGAATAGAAAAATGGCACAATTTACCGCTGGATTGAAGCATTTGAACACGGATAACAAAGCGTTAAAGCTCTGGACGGCCTCGCGAAACTGTCACACCAACAACGATTGCGGTAGTTAAACAATTTGTCAATGATGGCATGAGCAAAAACGGGTCCACATGTGTTCCTGCAAATTTTAGAAAGTGGTTTCAGAAATGTTACCAGCGATGAAACGTGGATACATTATTACACAACAAATTGTAAGAACTGCTTAAATAGTAAAAAAAAGCATGTTCTGTATTTTCTTTTCTGTTGAGGGTAATTTGGTGGCTAAAGAGTGGTGCCAAAAGGTGTCACAGTTACTGGCAGTTTCTATGCCAATAGGATTTTGCCAGATGTTTTTTTTTTTTGAAATATAAGAAAGAAATACTGTTCGGAATGTCATTCATCACGATAATGCTGTGCCACATACTTCAAAAGTGGTCACTAAGTATCTAAAAAAGGAAAACCGTTAAGTTAGTATTCTTCCTCACCCACGGCACCCAGCATTTTTTTCTGTTCCCTAGAATCAAAAAAGAACTCAGAAATAAAAAGTATAATAGGGTTGAAAATCTCGCGCGGGCTGTTCAATCAATTACTTCGAGTATATCAAATGACGAGTACCATAGATCGTTTGAGGATTGGCGTAGGAGGTTACAACTTTGCTAGATAGAGACGATCACCACTTTGAAGGAATGAAATAGTTTCGATGTTGTAACATAAGTTTTGGAATAAAGACATTTTCGCATTGCTTTTCAGCCACCCCATGCTTTCCTTAATGTGGCACAGTACTGATGTATATCATTTGTTCTAAAATATTTTTAACTACTGCCTTTAATTCGACCGCCTGCGTTCCGGAGTTATCGGTCGAATTAACGACAGACGTCTTAAGGAAGAACAATAATATTAAAAAATCGGGTCTTGCTCAAGGCGATCGAATTACTGGGAAAGTCGAATTATGGGTAGTCGAACTATCGGAAGTCGACTGTAAACGTTAAGCAGAAACACGCTCTCTCATATTGAAATTGAGACGTCTTCCTTTACAATGAAAAAAGTGGTGCGTTATATAACCTAATCGAAAAGTGGCATGACTGTAATTGTTTAGTTACTTGTAATAGATTGAATTGAGCATCAAAAGATCGGGTCATATAACATGCCCTTTTCGATCAGGCCCTATAAACATATAAGCATAACCAACAAGGGATAGTTTGACCATTGATAGAAATAGCATGATATTTATATGGTAAGGTAAATTTACTGAGAGGATGATTTATTTATACTGCAATATCCCCCAAAGCTGGGATATACCCAAGGATGGATTACATAGGGAGGTTACAAATGAGGGACGACTGTAGTGTGTTTTTTGTTTGTGTTCGAGAGATCCTTGTTATCATACGTAATTTTATAAACTTCGCCAAAAACCTAACTGATTTTCATATCCAAGTGCATAAGTGAGAAAAGAAATCTCGCTATGCTAATCTGAAGTATGTTAGTTCGGAATGGACGCTCTCACGCCGCTACTTCGACCCGACTATAAACGCTGCAACTTTGATACTTGTCGGAATGCGATTAATGAACTATCAATATTCATTCCCATTTCAAAATGGCGCAATCTATCTCAAACAATGCTGACTTATTTCGAAAACTATCTTTCTCAACGTCCCCCTCTCCCACCCTCGTTCTTCGTCTACCTCCCGTTCTCTAGTGCTACTCTCCAGAAACTTTAAGACAACGTTCTTCAAATATTCAATACTCATGTCTTATCTCTTTTCCATTTGATCATCTCTTCTTTTAATACTTTCTCTTGCTCTTTGAGTCGTTTCACCGTGGTTTCACTATCATTCAAAAGCTCGGCAAGAGTGTCGAGTTTTTAAATGCTTTTTTTTTTCACGCTCACCGATTTTGGTTCTGTGTCTGAAGAAAGTCCATAAATAACGCCCGAGGACAACGTCAGTGTTGATAAACGTATAATTGAAAACTAGCAGCAATCCCTCCAAGTTCTCCCGCAACACCCACCCTTTGCTATAAAGAACTTACAATACAATGCGCTAGCCCGCTTATTCGCGATCAAAGGTGAAGCTGATGATTCTCAGTCTTTGACGTTACAAGTCTTTCTTCCCTCGCCAATGGACTAATTGGACGTGATTTTTGTGATAATAATTGTTTTTGAACTTTGTTCAACCGTGCGATGTGCTCGGCAAGCTGTTCTTCGTCCAAGCGCCAAACATGAAATTGGCAAGTATGGGAAAAAGGAAGAGATGCAAGTGTTTGAAGAACCGGGCGAGACGTGGATTACTGTTGATCAATACTTTAAGGTAAAACATGTTATTGAGAATAATGTCTATGAAGATATTATTACAACGAATCACCTTATTCATCTGTTGTAAGTCGTCTTTCTCTTTTGTTTCTTTATAAGGCATGCCTGAACTTGACCTGTTGCTTTTACAAGTCTCTTTCAAATTCTCGTATACTCGTTGCTTACCGCACGACTTCAACATATATATATACAGTACTTGGTTTGCTCGATACGTCTCACATCTTTTATTACCCACCTTCCCTAACACCATGGCGAAATCCGCAACAAATCGATATAAATAGAAAAAGGAGATAAAGCTATTGAAATAAGTTATGAGAATAGCACAAAGTGGTAGACGGACACTGATAGCAGGAGATAATGACTATAAGCGCATGTTGCCTAATGTGCCTTTTGATGAGCGTCTTTGCATCAATCAGATCGCTTAGCCGACAAGCACTCTATCATCTAAATTTGCAGTTGGGTGTGTGTGTGTGTTGTGAGTTATTTTTTTGTCTTTTTGTTTTTTGTAATTGACTAGTCGTGGTGGGTTAAAAGATACGGAATGGATAGGAGGAGAATTCTACAGGTCCACACAAGCTTTTTTGCTAACTTGAGAAAAGCATCATTACTTGGAAACCGGGGATTGCAAGCTCCACAAACCCTTCTGTCTCAAACTTACTGGGACACAGTTAAAATCTGATACCTGACAATGTCTTCCCATGATTTGAGCTGCATATGATTATTACTGTGTACTTGTATATTAATATTATTAATATTAATAGTTCGGTCAAAAATCTCCGAGTTTAGTTATCAAATTTTTTTCTAGTGGCGAACTGATATGGAAGTAAAGACGAATAAGATAAATTGCTTGTCAAATAAAATTAATATTACGCGAGAGGACACAAACTAATTTAATAAAATACCTATAACAATGTATATGATACCAAAATTAACAACTGTCATTTAATATTAAAAAGGCTTATCATCTACTACTACAAGGACAAGCATACATGAAATATTCTAAAATTCTTTCTCATTGTCGTGTTAAAGCTATCACTTCGCCAAAGCTAGCATTGGCTGGCACCCTGCCTAACACCAATTGAATTCGCACTTCTCTTGTAATCACATATTCGGGCTCGTTGAATACGTTAATTTGCATTTGCGTAAAAGTATGTGCAATAGATCGACTTTTAATCGTACCAAAATATCCGTTGGAGTAGCCACAGAGTGGACAAAAGCTGTTTTTGTGAGTTTCGACTTGATTGCGACTCGGTGTATTCAACTGTCCATGTATAGAGGTATCAACGCCCGGAATCGGTTCGTGATAAGAAACAGTGGGATATGACACTGTACGATTTCCAGTATTTCCACTCATAGACCTCATATCGACATTACAGCTCGCCTGAACTATTACAATCGTCGAGAGGAAAAGAGGTAGCCATGAGTTAGAGTATGAGGTCTAACATGAACTGAAGGATTAGTATTCATATATGTACCATGGGGAGGAAAAGGAGGACAGAAACTTTGATTATGATGAGGTTGTGCTTGCAAATTAGTAGCATGACTATAATGACGTTGGACATTATTTTGGATGTTCAAGTTCTGGATATTCGGAAAAAGAGATCATTCTGATAGTGAGACAAGACTAATACTAACAGAATAAGAATTGGAGCCAGTAAAACGTCGGGAGTAATAAATATACCGTGATGGGAATATGCTTTCGGATTTCAGAGCAAGATATTGGAGCCAGTAAAACGTCGGGAGTAATAAATATACAGTGATGGGAATATGCTTTCGGATTTCAGAGCAAGGTATTGGAGCCAGTAAAACGTCGGGAGTAATATACCATGATGGGAATATAATATGCTTTCGGATTTCAACATCAGCTAAGGTAGGAATACATTAATAGCTTGCCCTCCCGGGGGTCTGTCTGGCTATTAGTTCTTCTCCCAATCACCCAGTATACATTACTAATAGAAGACATCTGGTAATACGAGATATTCCGACTGTTTGCATCGTTGTTCACATTATTCGCATATAAACGATATTCGGAGGAGTGTTCTAGACTGACAAGTATATATACGTACATTATAGAGTATTTGGTGATTGAAGCCCTCTGGTTGATAGATATCGTTATAAAGTCCGGCATAATAATAATCGTTGTTTATGTTATTGGATTCGCCCATTGTTCAAAGAAAGTTGTGGGCAGAAAAAGAAAATGTTATTTGCATTTATATAGAAAAAACGGTTATTCATTTTTGCGTCTAATCAATAATTTTATCCGACGGCCTAAAAAAGAAAATATTTCACCGTGTAACATTTGATTGTCTGTATTTACTATATATGTGTGAATACTATATTACTTGTTGTATAACGATAATATATTGGTTATTATAATATAATTACTATTGATGGTTTGCGTAACAAGCCCCCTTATTCATCGTAGACTTGAAAAGCTAATTTAAATAAAACAGTAACAATGAATATTGATATAGCAAACAATAAACTACCCATCTCGCAAGAGACCCCTTAATTTTCTTTCTCACAGTCAAAGTCTACGGGTTCCTCTACTTTCGTCAAGAATGTGATGCTTGCGTGGGCATTGGCATAAGAATATATGAAATAGATCGATTGCCTGTCGGGTCCGGAACCGCTTCGTAATAATGATAAGAGACTGAGGGATATGATGTACGATTTCTAGTATCTCCGTAGTGCAATATATTCATAGACGTCGAAAAGAGGACGGAAATTTGAGTATGCAATAACCGTATTTCTGACATGTATACCTGGGGTATTCTCCTAGTAATACGTGTCGGAAAAATACAGTAATAGCATCATGGTTTTTGGGATTTTGTCAAGTATATTGTTCTTTCAGTCATCGAATCCAGTTGTAATTTATATTTTTAGTAATCTCGACCTGCACCTGGTGTCCGTCGCTACCAATCGTTTACAATATCCGACAATCCTTAATATTATTTCTTAAATCTAATAATATATCCTGTCATTCAAAAGATTCACATAATCCCCTCTTTTGAATCCCCCATACAATTCAACATGTAACTCACTTTTAGCTCTCCCATTTAGCTTAACATGTATTCTTTATTTCACTTCTCAACTATCCAGTATCTAATATTAGGTAACTGATGTTAAAACTAGCTGTAGCACGTATATGTAGCTTAGAAATAAGTCTTACACTATTGATTTCTTGACTATAACGTCTAGATACTGATTAAAACCCTATGATAAAAGTGCGCAAGAGTATTAACCGACTACTCTTTGGAATATAAAGTGATTGATTTTATATTTGAAATATGAAATGACAGAATAACAGAAAAGCAGAGAAAAGAAATGTACGAATTCAGCAATTAACCAAAATGTATTCCCCAACCTTGGAGAGATGCATATATAGATGGGGTGATAGTTATATATTTGTTTTTGATCAAGTATAATAAAGACGAAAATAAAATGTCCGTTTACATGTTTGGCTAATTCTTTAGAATCTTCTTGCTACTGCAACTCTTTACAACGTCGTTGGCATTGACAATCAGGTAATTTAACGACTTAAACAAGCAATTGTAACGCTTTTTTTTTTCGACGCTAGCACTAGTGCAAATGGGTCATATTAACCCTGATTATCATTGCAAAGCATTCTTACACTTATCAATACAGTAATATTAAATAAATTATATTGTGACAGATTAAAACAAAATCGGATTTGAGTTGGAATTTAAGGTAACTTTGTTAACAGAAGAGTATATGTGGGTTTCAGAGACATTAAAATAAGATCCAAAAAGACCCAAATTTCGTTTTAATCTGCCACACTTATTGCTTATTTATATGTAATACGCTTATTGGATAGTATATTCGGTGTGTACAGCGTTGAAATGATATTAATATTCTATCCAAACTTTATAATGTAAACACAACGACTGATACTTGTCGGATACGGTTAGTGAATTCTCAAAAAGCATTAACATCGCATTCATCGTCAAAGGGAATTGTCGCATCGATTTCTCTTATGAAGTATTGATATATCACCACCCGTTTTAAAAGAGAACGGGCAATTAGTATCAACTCAACTAGCATGTATGAATCAATGGTGATGAGCGAAGATATGCCATTATTGGATATACGATAAACTTCCACGAATTGCAAATAGTATTTCCCTAAGCACATATCGAAATCTCACATATATGTGTGTTTTATTTACTACCAACTTTGCCGGCAACGAGAAACGGTTGCAAGATTTTCGGGGAAGTACCTTGACATCTTTTCTTTTACTTATTTTTCTTTGCGACTTTCGAGCGGGGCTTGGAATCATTATCTTTTACAGAATGCAGTTCTCGTCCAAAAGGCTGAGGCCGGAAGACTTTACTCATAAATAATACAGACAAATTAGCATCAAGATTCCTTGAAAGCATACCAGTTTACCAAATCCCGAAGCGGAGGAACATACTCAAACGGTACGATATACTTTTTTACTTCCAAGTTGGTGATACTTTTAGAATAAAATTATTTTATTTAGTATTTTGTGTATGTATGTTTATGAAGAGTGAGCAACGAAGTCACGATTGTAACGATTAATTGTCTGTACAAATGTAGTACGTTACAATATTAGTGTACAATCGATCATTATCACGTAGTGCGGGAGCTTAAGGATTATGTAAGCGCAGACGATATTTGTCAAACAATCCGTTGACGGGGAACTAACAGTTTTATTATGCATTGCAAAAAAAAAAAAAAGTGTGATAAAAGTCTTATATTAATTATCGAACTGTTCGTAATTAAGTTTAAAGTTCCAAATTCTCAAGTTGATCAATTCTTTCAATAAGTCAGTTTACTCGATTTCTATATGATTGTTCTATTAAATTAAACAATGTCTTAGCTGATCAACCATTATAACGCCATATCCCAGCACCAGGGCCCCTGAAAACAGTGTTCTCTTTAAAACTCTTGGCTTCTTCAGGACTCAATTGAAGGATTGTAGTTATTACCAGAACCAAATACTAAACGAAAAAGATGATATGATCAAACGTCGTTGCAAATAGAAAATCGTTAATTAAATAACCATAGCAGATATTGTTAATAACTATTGCATCAGTCTTCACACTCTCGTTTTTATTTCAAACTATGTTGATTTATTTCTTCTCCTACCCCTGTTCTTCAGCACTACTCTCCGGAAACTTCGAAACAAATATCCCACTCTATCTAATAATTTCCTCATCGGTTATTTTTAGCACCAGAAATCCAGATCTACGGAATCGTCGTAATGGAAGGAGGCAAAAGGTTGAATTCGTGACTGTAGATAAAGAAATGCACTTGATGCAGTGGATCGAAAGTTGTTTCGATGAGACAAGCTCGAAACTCTGACCATGTAAAAGGATTCACGTGCAGATTTCATTATCGAGAAAACTGGAGCGAATAACATTCATATCCCACATCTCTCACATGCATTTCGTTTAGTACAATAAGCAGTGGATAAGTTGTGGAATATTATAGAGATAACGATAAAGGAACTTGAAAGTTTACAAAAGTAAAACTATTCATTGCGGCGACGGCCAATCGTAGTTTAACGAATCGCGCTTTTTGTTTTACTACGATTAAGTACCTCTTTTTGAAGTATTACGATTGTTCTGAATAGTAATGATTACTTTTTAGACTAGCCAAGGGAAATTCAAATGCACAAAAAAATTTACTGAAATGTGGATGGATTACTTTAGATGGATATAGTTTAATGCAGTTGATATCGCCTGAACCTCTACTTATAGCTCGCTTATAATGCTGATGTTTTTATCACAGCTCTATGAACAGTTAGAATCTGCGGAACAAAGAAATTGGGACGCGATGAAAAAGAATTAATATTGAATTGAGAATTAATCGTAATGACGACTATAGCTCACACAAAATGCTAGATTAAGATGTATTTGGACCGCGTTTAATTCTCACTGGTGAAGATATACGTCCTTTAATAATAATAAGAATAAAGCACAACCAAAGGAACAATATCTTGAATAATGTAATTTACCACTCGGTAGGCCAACACATCCAAGCTCCGATATTCGTGGTAACCATACTCAGTCAATAATCTGCGAAATATTCTGTCTGGCGAATTTACCTGTTGGGAGGAATATTCATCTTGACAATTGGTGGGTTATTTTAAAAAAAAAATTTTTTTTTGTCTCTCAGTAATGAATGGAATTCTGCTTTATTCGCAAAAGCACCAGGAAAGCAATACATGTTCAAAGTTAATTTAATAAAAACATTTATATTACTCATAAAATAAGTATTGATACGAAATCTCCCTCTTGTTTTTTAAGATTAAGATAGTTATATACTGTACAATGACTGATATAACAAACTATCTTACTCACATTCGAGTTGTAGCTAACATATGGTTAAAGTCAGCAGCTGACATCCTGCCTAATACTAATTGAGTATGCTCTACTTTCGTAACAACATATCCGGTGCCTGTGGGATCGTGCGTAAAAATATACGAAGTAGATGAATTGTTGATCACACCAAAATGATTATCCGTGGAACCGTCGTTCATCGTATCGAAATAAGGGTCACAGACTGTTTGAAAAGGTACTGGGAGCGGATAAGAGCTGTTTTCATGGGTTTCGGCTTGATCGTGATTCAGTGTATTCAACTGTCCATTCACAGTGTCAACGTTACCCGGGTGGAAATGAGAAACCGAGGGATTGCCTTGATATAATGCATAATCGCCCGTATAATCTCCGGTATCTTCGTAGTCCATAGAGTTCATAGTATTAGACATCACATCGACATTTTCGGGGAGAGAAACGGAGGCAACAGAAGGAAGGAAATCTTGAGTATTGGCGTCATCAGAATTAACGTCTTCCGGGTAAGTCGATTGACAGATGTTGTAATGTCCGATATAATTGTTGTTCATATTATTCGGTTCACTCATTGTATAAACGTTATCAGGAGGAGAGTGCAGAACGAAATATTGCGTTCTGAAGTTTTCGATTTTAATGATTGAGCTGCGTAGTATTTATATATTTTAATGATTGAGCTGCGTAGTATTTATATATATAGTCTTTTTAATGCACCCGTCACAAAAAGGTAACTTGTAATTAAATTTTGTATGCACCCGTCACAAAAAGGTAACTTGTAATTAAATTTTATATGCACCCCAATTCTTTTTTGTTTATCGGTAACACGAATGCAAGGCGTATTTAATGGTCTGCATTTAGTTTACGTTTTTTGGTATTTGCATGCAGAAATGCAGATCATCCAACACATCACCAAAATGTCTAGCAGTTTCATCTTGCTATATTAATATATAGTGCAATATATACAGTCAAACCTCGTTGTACCGATACCCGCTATACCGATAACCTCGATATAACGATGGAAAACGTCGCTCCCAAAATTTAGATAGAAAATTTTCCCCGTTATACTGATAAATTATAATA